TGGAGAACTTATAGCACAGAATGGAGAACCTATGGCTCAGCATGGAGAACCTATGGCACAGCATGGAGAACCTATAGTACAGGAGGGAAAACCTATGGCACAGCAGGGAAAACCTATGGCACAGCAGGGAGAACCTATAGTACAGCAGGGAGAACCTATAGAACAGAATGGAGAACCTATGGCACAGCAGGAAGAACCTATGGTACAGCAGGGATAACCTACAGTACAGCATGGAGAACCTATGGCACAGAATGGAGAACCTATGGCACAGCAGGGAGAACCTATGGCACAGCACGGAGAGCCTATGGCACCGCAGGGAGAACCTATGGTACAGCATGGAGAACCTATGGCATAGAATGGAGAACCTATGGCACAGCATGGAGAACCTATGGTACAGCAGAGAGAACCTATGGCACAGCATGGAGAACCTATGGCACAGAATAGAGAGAACCTATGGCACAGCAGGGAGAACCTATGGCACAGCATGGAGAGCCTATGGCACAGCAGGGAGAACCTATGGTACAGCAGAGATAACCTATAGTACAGGAGGGAGAACCTATGGCACAGCAGGGAGAACCTGTAGTACAGAATGGAGAACCTATGGCGCAAGGAGAACATATGGTAGAGCACAGAAAGTGAGTTGAAAGTAAACATTTTGAGATCATGCACCTTTCCTCTGGCAACTTATGGATCGGGCCGTGCTGTGTTATGATACAGCATCAGACGGTACTGTAATATGGTGGCATAAGTAGTGAAATCAAAATTCAACTGCAACTTTCGATCAGACAGCGCGAAGCTACTAGGGAGGGCATTTCAAAGACTGGCATTATAGTGAGGAACGTTACTGCACGAAGCTGCTTATGGATGGGCTTTTACTCAACCAACCGCTGGGAGTTGGGGGAGGGGGGTGGGGGGGGGGTGGGTGTCATGGACCACAAGAGAAAAAAATTAAAACACCCAATATCTTTCATGATCTGAGCATTGAGGAGAACTGGCTCATAAACAACATCCCGTCCTGAAAGCCAATGTATTTTGGACACGCCAGAAAACAAGGCAGAGGACGACCTCCCACAAAGTGGATACACTAAAGATGTATTGGCTATAAAAGCACACAGGATATAGACTTTATGATGTCCTAAGATCCTGAGGTCCCGTCCGTTACTGATTACACTATTTAACCTGGGAATTTTTTAAAAATATATATGTTAATAAAAGGTTACAGTTTTGGCAAATTATGCTTGCTTTATTCAATTGTATATTTTACTTTTGCAGGTATGTAGATAGATGTGCAGATAGATACACATATAGCAGATATACAGGTAGGTAGCCAAATATAAATTTGAATGCACAAGAACCATGCCTTCTTGGTCACCCAACTGTCAGAACAGACATGAATCTGGAATAAGGTGTAGATTCAGTAAGAAATGAGACATGAGAAAAGTACAGCACGCATGCAACCAGTGGTGGAATAAGTCGTAAGCTAAATAAGCTATAATTTAGGGCTTCACAAGCTGCAGTGGCCTCAAATAATTTGTTATTTACTTCTTTTTTTTTTCTTTAGAAATTCAGTTTTTTTTTTTTTTTTAAATATGTTTGAAAATCACAATTTCCCATAAAATTTTATTAACAGTTTTTGGAGGGTAAATTATCTCAGGCTTGTTTTTATTATAACTTGTTGTAACCTATTTAAATTGAATAATGAGCCTTCATATGCAACAAACTTTTAACTTTTATTACCTAATATATTTTAAAGTTTAATCAGATTCCATGGTGTATTTTAAATTGTTAGGGGGTCTTAGTGTCAGGTTTCATCAAGTTAAATCTGGCCCTGCATACAACAAGTGTGCTGCTGAAAGTCAGCATCTACATTCTGAGACATTTGCTGTGGAAGACTGAGCACCTATGGGGAGGCCTAGTGTGCTTTGATATCAATTCTTAAATCATTAGGCAGGAATACTACAGGTGGATAAAAGAGATAAGATGCAGACTATCAAGATATTTTGGATGTGATCAGAGAAAAAAATAAATCTGAAATCTTCGTTACACACGGCTGAGAGCAGTTTGAGGATAAGATAATCTTCTACAAACAATCAACCATCATGCCTTCTATAGAAAACTGCTTTCTTCTCGGCACATCTGCAAGTCTCACTTTCTCAAGCCAATTCTCCAGCCCTGTGTGCTTTTACAGCCAATGCACCTTCACTGCCCTGCATCCACCTTGTTGTACAGCAGTTTACAGCTAGGCATTGATATCTGCACCTTTCTGTACAACACAGCCAATTTCAGCAATTGTTAAGTTAGTGGCCCTTTACAACATGCTTGATAAGGTCAGTGTTTCTATTCTTTACACACTCCCCCCCCCCTCCCCACAACTTCCACCTGCCCAAAATGGGGATTTGGAACCCAATGGGAGGAGATACTGAGATAGATATCTGGATGATCTGACTACAAGGCAAAACTGAAACAAGAACATAGGGTTGATCTGCAACTTGAGTGAGCGTTTGAGATGATGAGCCATGACTGCCAATACTAAGCGAGAGAACTCTTTACTGCAGGGCTATTCAACTGATGGTCTGCAGGCTAAATCTGGCCCTCGGAGCCCTGGTAAGTGGCCCACGAATCATTGTCAGTTGTATTAATTTAATAGTCTGTCTATGCTGGAGTTTGGGCTTCTGGCCCACAATGATCCCCATTTTTAACACTTTGGCCCCTGAGTTGAACAGTCCTGGTCTGCGGAATCTCACTCAATGTCAGCCAGTACATTCAGAATACGTGGGAAACATTTATGAGATACCATATAAGAGACCATGAGATAACATATGATAAAACATCATGACAGCCTGAAATACCATATGACTTAATATATGATGACATAGCATTTGAAATTATATATGACATAACATATGACAAATAGAAATATCATTTGACATAATACATGACATAACATATGACAACCATTAATACCATATGACAAAACATATGGCAACCTGAAATAGTTGTAGCAGCAATAGTAGTAGTTGTAGCAGCAGTAGTAGCTGTTTTGTCTGATTTATGTATGTGCCGATGAAGGCTCTATATCCACAACATTCAAGGTTTTGTATGTGTTTGTTATACTGTAAAGCTTGCTGATATACTTTTTGTAGTTTTTGATCTTTCCTTGATAGCAGTTGTTGTAGTAGCCGCATTAGTTGCTGTAATAGCAGCAGTAGCTGTAGTAGCAGCAGTAGCTGTAGTTGCTGCAGTAGTTGTTGTAGTAGCAGCAGTAGTTGTAGTAGCAGCAGTAGTTGTAGTAGCAGTAGTTGTAGTTGTAGCAGCAGTAGTTGTAGTTGTAGCAGCAGTAGTTGTAGTAGTAGCAGTAGTTGTAGTAGCAGCAGTAGTTGTTGTATTAGCAGCAGCAGTTGTAGTAGCAGCAGTAGTTGTTGTATTAGCAGCAGCAGTAGTTGTAGTAGCAGCAGTAGTTGTAGCAGCAGTAGTTGTAGTAGTAGCAGTAGTTGTAGTAGCAGCAGTAGTTGTAGTAGCAGCAGTAGTTGTTGTATTAGCAGCAGCAGTTGTAGTAGCAGCAGTAGTTGTTGTATTAGCAGCAGCAGTAGTTGTAGTAGCAGCAGTAGTTGTAGTTGTAGCAGCAGTAGTTGTAGTAGTAGCAGTAGTTGTAGTAGCAGCAGTAGTTGTTGTATTAGCAGCAGCAGTTGTAGTAGCAGCAGTAGTTGTTGTATTAGCAGCAGCAGTAGCTGTAGTAGCAGCAGTAGTTGTAGTAGCAGCAGTAGTTGTAGTAGCAGCAGTAGTTGTAGCAGCAGCAGTAGTTGTAGTAGCAGCAGTAGTTGTAGTAGCAGCAGTAGTTGTTGTACTGGCAGTTATTATTGTGCACTAGAACAGCATCCTGCTTAAATAACGATAGTAAAAACCAGGTTTGCCTGAATTTCAAGGGGCGCTAAACAAAATATGTGATTACTGGGGACTAAAAACAATAACTGTGCATACCTGCTATGGCCAAAATTGTGTTTATGTTAACTAACTGTCCTTCTTACACCAGTTTATGTTAACTAGGTTTTACTGTATTAAATTTATAGTAAAACCTAATTTATTTTATATGTTTGCAGCTGTACTTATAGTACACTGACAAGCTGGTGAACAGTTATCACTGAGTTAAGGATGCAAGTACTGACAAAAATTAAAACCTAAGAGGTGAACAGGCAGGTTTTCGGCCAAACAGATCCTGTACTGATAGCCACATTATGCATAATAATAACTAATGGAGCAACGCAATGAACTTAATTCACAACTATGTTGGATTCCTAGACTTCGAAAAAGCTTTTGACAGCACTGATAGGGAATCTCTCTGGAAATTGATGGTGCACTATGGAGTCCTACAGAAAAATATTAACCTAATATAAGCAATATACAAAGACATTAAAATGTCGAGTTCTTCACGCAGTATTAAAAATGTAAAGTAAAGAACCCTTTTCCACGGTTTTCATGCGTACTGAGTATACAGAGTTAGACCTATATTGGTGGGTGATGTTCAGTATTACGTCGGTCGCCTTTACTTCCCAGGACTGTATCTGGTACCTAATCAAGGCTGGGTCGACTTGGGAAGTTGGGAGCCAAGATCATTCTTGAAAAAAGTCTGGCCCCTGTCAGGAGCCGAACCCACGACCTTCTGATCCACAGGCGAGCATCTAGTCGCTAGACCCTTCACGTAGTATTAATGTATTAATTGTTAATAATTTAAAAAATGTTAATAATATAGTATCAATCTGATATCTGTTATTAATATTATTACTGTTATTGTGATAGAAAAAATCTTACCTGTATGTTATATGTACAACCGTCCTTTAACAATTAACAAAAGTGACTCAGATGCAACACCTCAGTGACTGCTAACAGACCAGATACCAAAAACCCCTTACGTGCACAGTTAACAGCGACTGACTCTAACACACAACACTAAGTGGCTGGTCTGACTGTCGTTCACTGACACAGACAGAAAAATAATCACATACCAGGAAGTTTCAGGCCGGCAAGGGAAGCGACTTCAATCAGTGACCTGGATCTGACTTTCTGCTTAGCTTTGCGGGGTTTCCCCGGCGAGGACTTGCCTGTTTCACAGATCCTATCTTCGCTGGCAGCCAGGGAAAGCCTGTTGTCTTCCACTGTAATGATTATAATTTTGTATCTTAAGATGGTGACCTAGTAAGATAAAGTCTTCTGGTTAACAGACTAAGTATACAGATTATGATGTGGTATTGTTATTATTTTTTTTAATTAACAAGTTCCAGAGGCGAAGAAAAGACGCCGGTGTTGAATAGGACACATTACTTACCCCCCCCCCCCCCTTTTTTCCGTCCCAGTGTGGGTCGAATTTTGTGTGTGTAAATTTTAAAGTTCATACTGCTACTGTCGTCGAGGGCCCTAAATATAACCCACAGGTCTCTGGGACTTGTGACAGCGTGACACCCATCCGAAAGGTGGCACTTTGTGTCACGGGGTGTTAACGCTTGTCATGCAGTCTTGGTGGGGTTGAACGTCAGTCAGTCAGTCGAAGACAGCTTGAGAAAACTTGAGAACAATATAACTAGAATATATTTGCACTGGAACCCACAGGGACATCAAAATATAGGCAGACCGACAGAAAACATAGACACACGGAGAAGGGCGCTAAGGAGTTGAGTGAAAATATGAGAAGATTGGGTGAGCTGCATGCACGAGCGAAGAATAGAACGACTTGGGTCAGGTCAGACCATCAGGTGGGCTGACTTTATGAACTCGCATATCAGCTGCAGGTCTTGAGGTCGGGTTTCTTTTTGAAGTTGTAGGTAGAGTGGGCAGGTCCCCAGAATGAGCTCAGGTGTGTGTTGTCCTGTCCGAGAGGCACACTACGGGGACTGTACAATTTTTATTTTATGCATGTGGTAGTTGAGCCTGCAGTGTCCTGTTTGTAGGCGGAAAATTGTTGTATGTTGCTTTCTGTTGAGTCTGCTGATGGGGTCTTGTGGATATTTATGTTAGTTTGTTCTCTCCACAATTCCTTGTATTTTACCTTGAAAAGTGTTCTGATTTCTGGTAACGACAAAGGATCTGTATGTTGTTTCTCCCTTGTTCCATTTTTTGCAAGTCTATCTACTAACTAATGTCGTGGTATGCTGCAGTAAGCTAGGATCCACTGCAGAACGATTTGATTGTATTTTTTTTAAGTCTGCTTATCTGGTGGGTTAGTTCCCTCTCTATGTTGTCTCGTGGATCCCTCTGAATCATCTGGTGGGCTGAAATGCAGCCACTCAGGACAACAATTTTATACCTAAATTGTATAGACCAATCGGCACTCGGTGGGTAATTTAGTCAACATCACCCCGGTCGCCTTTACTTCACATGACTATACCTGGTACCCACTCAAGGATGGGTCGACATTGAAGCCAAAGTCATTTTTGAAAACACTTCGGCTCCGTCAGAACTCCAACCCAAGACCATCCGGTCCGCTAGCGAGTTTTTAGCCGCTACACCACGGCGCCCCACGAGACCCCTTACTACTGGGTAACTATCGTAGAGGTAAAAAAAAACGGCAGACAGTCTAATCGTCCGCACATGTTTCTGTATTCCCGCGTGAACTAAACAGCAATTGATGTAATCAGTTCTTTGAATCGTCAACTCGTCAACCCTTTGAAATGTTTCAAGTATAGTCTCATTGTCAGACTCAGAGACTTATCAACCCATCCATTTACCCGTGAATGTGTTTCTAAATCTATGCTGAGATGCATCTGACCACGTTCATGAACAGTTACGGTTTGTTCTGTTTGTGGGTACAATCCATTTCCGTGTCATATGTGCGGATAATATTTAAAAGTCATTGCATGTATGCTCCCAGTCATGTACAGTGGTACCTCAATATACCTACTTAGTAAGTTCCAGATTTGTAGGTGTGTTCCAAACAGTCAAGGTTAGTTGCGTATCCTTTACAGAACGCTGCAGAACCAACCCCAGCAGCCCCTGGCTGTTGTGTGGTTTCTCTAGGCAAATTTACGTCCAGTAGTTTGTTATTGCTCCCTGTAAGGTCGGCTCTTTGATACCACTGTCGAAACCAACACAAGTCGCATAGCCCGCAGCTGGGATCGAGCCCGGCACCCCGGCATTATGACTTAGCCGCAGAGCCGACTTTCCAAACAGTACTTATAACAAAGACATTTTCTCAAAAAAAAAAATAAAAGGTCGAATGAATAATCAAGGTATCGCTGTATTGGTATAGATCAACTCGCATTCTAAGTGTCATTTGCTCAATATCATGCCGATAGCCTTTACTTTCCCTAACATTTTCAGCTGCGTACTTAAGATCTGGTCTCATAGGACAGAGACAAAGAACTTTTTTTCCCGAAGGTCATTTGGATGTTTATAACACATTTGGATGTTTATAGTATAATTGTTATAATTATGACATCATTTGGGTGTTTATAATATCATTTGGACATCTATAACATCATTTGGATGTTTATAACATCATTTGGATATTTATAACATCATTTTTATGTTTATGACACCAGTTGAATGTTTATAATATCATTTTTATGTTTAAGACATCATTTGGATATTTATAACATCATTTGGATGTTTTTAGTATCATTTGATTTTTATAATATCATTTGTATGTTTATAATATCATTATAATGTTTCTAACATCATTTGGATATTTATAACATCATTTGGATGTTTATAATATCCTTTAGATGTTAAAACATCATTTGAATGTTGTAACATCATTTGGATGATTATAATATTGTTTATATGTTTATAACATCATGTTGATGTTTATAATATAATTTTTATGTTTATGTCATGTTTATGTTCATTTAGATGTTTATAACATCATTTGGATATTTCTAACATCATTTGTAGTGGGTACCAAATTATCAACCTAAAAGGGGTAGAGGTGCTGAAGCACACTCGGTGGACCAACCTAAAGGATGTAGAGGTGCTGAAGCACACTCGGTGGACCAACCTAAAGGGTGTAGAGGTATTGAAGCACACTCGGTGGACCAACCTGAAGGATGTAGAGGTACTGAAGCACACTCGGTGGACCAACCTAAAGGGTGTAGAGGTATTGAAGCACACTCGGTGGACCAACCTAAAGGATGTAGAGGTACTGAAGCACACTCGGTGGACCAACCTAAAGGGTGTAGAGGTATTGAAGCACACTCGGTGGACCAACCTAAAGGGTGTAGAGGTGCCGAAGCACACTCGGCGGACCAACTTAAAGGGTGTAGAGGTGCTGAAGCACACTCGGTGGACCAACTTAAAGGGGTGTAGAGGTGCTGAAGCACACTCGGTGGACCAACTTAAAGGGGTGTAGAGGTGCTGAAGCACACTTAGTGGACCAACTTAAAGGGATGTAGAGGTGCTGAAGCACACTCGGTGGACCAACTTAAAGGGGTGTAGAGGTGCTGAAGCACACTCGGTGGACCAACCTAAAGGGTGTAGAGGTATTGAAGCACACTCAGTGGACCAACCTAAAGGATGTAGAGGTGCCGAAGCACACTCGGCGGACCAACTTAAAGGGGTGTAGAGGTGCCGAAGCACACTCGGTGGACCAACTTAAAGGGGTGTAGAGGTGCTGAAGCACACTCGGTGGACCAACTTAAAGGGGTGTAGAGGTGCTGAAGCACACTCGGTGGACCAACTTAAAGGGGTGTAGAGGTGCTGAAGCACACTCGGTGGACCAACTTAAAGGGGTGTAGAGGTGCTGAAGCACACTCGGTGGACCAACCTAAAGGGTGTAGAGGTATTGAAGCACACACAGTGGACCAACCTAAAGGGTGTAGAGGTGCTGAAGCACACTCGGTGGACCAACCTTAAGGGTGTAGAGGTGCTGAAGCACACTCAGTGGTGGGCTGGGGCCAGGACACACACTGGTCAGCATCTACCTGCACGTCTCTGCGGTCATCATAGGATCTGATTCCCAACAGGGTTCATTGCTAGAATAAATAAGATCTAATTTTTATTGTAAATTTAAGTGCATCCGTCCGAGAGAAAAGTAATAACAATCTGCACACAAATTTACAAGATCTGTAAAACGGAAGTGCGCGCAAAAAACAAATCCTGGAACTAGACATATATCCAGAAGTGGACGAACAACCAGAACTTTCCGTCGGAGTTTACATCCAGTGAGAGATAAGACAAAAAGATTGGGTGATGTAGTCAATACCATGCTGGCTGCCTTTACTTCCTATGACACGTCCGGTAGCTACCTAATGTGAAATCAGTACTGTTGTGAGGGGCGGAATCATGGAGAACAGCTGAGGTAGTTACCAATAAACTACAAACATTCATTACCTGTTGCCTGCTCTGAACAGAGTGAATTAAATGGTATGGTTGAATCACTAAGTAGAGCTTTGGAAGAGAATTAAACAAGTTGAGTGGTTCAAAGGGGTCAGGAAAAATACGCTGGCGTTGGATAGGACACACGTTAGGAAACATGAGAAAAATATAAATAGAATGTCTTTGCACTAGAACCTTCAGGGGCATAGAAATAAAGGAAGACAAAAACAAACATGCAGAAGAGAGCTAGAGAGGGAAGTTAAAAAGAATATGGGGAGGAGATGGGAAGAGCTGCATGTGATAGCGAAGGATAGAACAACTTGGCGTGAGTTGGTTTTTGTGACAGCCGATTAACAAATAAACGTCGATATATTTGTTTATTTTTCAGTGTTTGGTTAGCTGTCAGGTGGGTCGCGAGAAAAGTGACAATTTTTACCTGGTCACGGGTTTATTGCAAAGATAAAGAACCTCATCTAGACTGTAGACTAGGGATCTTCCGTATGCTTTTGTGTCGTGGTATTCAATATGGCCGGTATCAAGTTTACGTGCGGGCTCGTGAGGTACCTTATGTTATAATTATATAAGTGTGTATGTGTGTTTTGTCCATCAAGATGATGATGACCACTCTTTTCATCAAGTATGAGTACGAAGATGACTGATGAGGCCGATGCCAGCCCGAAAAGTTCTTGGACAGTGAGGACAGGGAAGGAATGTTCTGCCAGGGAGAGGATCTCCTGCAGTCGCCTTTCTGTCCATCCTTTTTTTTAATCAGTCTTGCTCTTCTTTTTGCTTCACGTGTGGCCGCACCTTTCTCTAGAGCTGCACGCCATGCAATTCAGTCTTGACAGGCAGTCTCCCAGTTGGTGGCATTCATCCCAAATGCTTTGAGTGAAGACTTCAAGGTGTCCTTAAAGCGTTATAAGTGTATGTCACATATCACTCCTGTCGCGTGCCTAATGTAAGGATTTCTCCTTCAGAACCAACAGCACTCAGAAATAATTATGTTGAGTCGTTTGTCTCGTATTGGTCTAAGGGATTCCCCGTGGCCAATATACGCTCAACTTATCTCTGGAGTAGGGCAACTCAAGTATTGGCACTACAAAATATATCAGTATGTGAATACAATATTTCTAGGCACACTTGGCTGGACACCCCCACTACTTACTAAAGAAAGCCCCCAGGTTATGATAGTTCATTATCATAACCATGTTAACACATATAATGAAGATACATACACACACAACTGCTAAACACTTAAAAAGGTGAAATAGAGACACCTAAGTCAGCCATAAAAATGAATGCATGTAATCAATATAAAATAGATATATAATAGTGAAACAAATTCCAGCTATCAGTGGAAGAATCTCAGAAAATAATGTCTAGATACCAAAGATACTACACAGACAGCAGGTCTTGGAGATGACATCTTGTCATCATTGGGAAACATAGGAGCTGTGAGGAATAAAGCACATAAGGCATCAAACTGCACTTAGCCTCTTTCTGTCTATAATGCCTCCCTCAGCTCCTGATGATTCGACTGTCTTTGACTCTGGTAATTCTGCTCAACTGAAAGAGTGGAGTTAAGTCAAAGCAACCAGAAAATGTAGACATAATAATGTTGTCTAATAAAGGAGAATCATATATTGTCAAAAAAAGGCATATATAGATATAATCGGGACTATATCTTTTTATCCAATGGACATTTAAAAATGAGTCAAAGCAAGTTTAGAATTTTGTGCCGATTACAGGTAAGTCAAGTTACCAGCCTTACGGACTGATGCGTAGTGGCATCATTCCACGACAGTGTATAGCCAACTTATCGCGCCCGGACTACTTTCATCAAGGACAAACTGCATTTCTGGTGGCGACTGTTGGCTTTGGCGTCACTAGTAACTGCTATATGCATTTACTGTCTGCGAATATATTTCTGCATTGTACTGGGACTAAGTGTCACCAGTTTTTCAAACGGGACAGTAAGGGACATTTCATTTGATTTTCACTGGCACAGGAAGCGTGCAAGCATGGGGGAAGTTGAAGCCTCGACTAAGACGAAGTATGTTTACACCCACGGACCAGCAAAACTCCTGTTTCGCGCGCCACAAGTTGAAGAACACTGGCCTAGACACGCTGTCGTCCTATTTGAAATTCGTCTATTTCCGGAGAGGTTGTTTCGGTTTTTAAACAT